ATTATGTATATTATATATATATATGTGTATATATATATATATTTATAATATATTATAATATTTATGTATATTATATATATATATATATATTTGTATATATATATATATTTATATATATTTATATATATTATGTATATTATATATATATATATATATATATTATATACATATATATATGTATTTATTTATTTATTAATATATATTATATATATAATATATATATATATATATATATATTATATATATATAATGCCATTGAAACTTTCTCACTCTCCTCTCTTATTTCTTTCCTATCCTCACTGTTATCTGTCTTCTACCTCTGTCCCTACTTATTTAAAAGTTTAGTATTTCTATTGATAAGAATATTTAATATTATTTTATCTTCTCTTCTCACTGTGTCTCCGACATTTTACTTTTATATTTCGTAAAAAAAATTATGATTGTTGCGTCATGCCACTTTTTCTTGTTCTCCTCAGTTGTTCTAATGAAAATGCAAGTGAAATATATGTTATAGCTTTATTTTTGTAATGAATATGGATGTCTCTCACGTATATTTTTACCCTCTCTGTCTTCAGTTGAGTAGCATATTGAAGCTGTGGCTGGTTTCCAACTTTTGTATAGCACCACCCACATACTTTTCATTGGTTAGAGTACCCCCCCCCCCCCTCTCTCTCTCTCTCTCTCTCTCTCTCTCTCTCTCTCTCTCCTCCTCTCTCTTCTCTCTCTCTCTCTCTCTCTCTCTCTCTCTCTCTCTCTCTCTCTCTCTCTCTTTTCTCTCTTTTTCTCTTTTTTCTCTCTCTCTCTTTTTTCTCTCTCTCTTTTCTCTCTCTCTCTTTTTTCTCTCTCTCTTTTTCTCTCTCTTTTCTCTCCTCTTTTTCTTTCTCTCTCTTTTTTTTCTCTCTCTTTTTTTCTCTCTCTCTTTTTTCTCTCTTTTTTTCTCTCTCTTTTTTCTCTTTTTTTCTCTTTTTCTCTTTTTTTCTCTTTTTTTTTCTCTTTTTCTTCTCTCTCTCTCTCTCTCTCTCTCTCTCTCTCTCTCTCTCTCTCTCTCTCTCTCTCTCTCTCTCTCTCTTTATATATATACATAAACATATATATATATATATATATATTATATATATATATATATATATATATATAATATATTATATATGTATATAAATATTTTTTTTTATATATACATAGATTATGTATACATACTTTATTTGTGTGTGTTGTATATATATATATATATATATATATATAATATATATATATATATATATATATATATATATATATGTATACATTAGATTTATTTTGAAATTTCTCATATTTAGCAGCTTGATAATCGGAGGATACGTGTACGCCCATCCGTTGTACGGTTTTCTTCTTGATCCTGGTGAAATAGGTCAATTCAGGCCACTTTGGTCGTCGTTGCTGAGAAGGGTTTAAATTATTACTGGCTCTTTGTGTTCAGTAAAGAAAACAAACAGCATTTTATGGGTACTCCGTATTGATTATATACCGTGTACGCAATCCAGATCTCACATTGATATCCTATATGGAAATCCTTTGCTTATACCAATAGCGAACGTCAGAAATGTGCATCATGCCTCAGGGTCCCGTGACACATTCCCAGGTGTCCTGAAAATAGCCCCCTTCATACGACACATTTCTTGCATGTGGCAGTTCGCCTTCAGCCTTGCGGTATAAACATCGCCCCCACCCAAAGATCCATGGCTAGTCCTGACATGGCTCCCCTCAAAATTCGTTTCTCCGCCTCCCCTCCCACCTCTCTTTCCTTCAAAGCTACCTCTTCCGTCTCGCTCCCCTCCGTCTCTACCTCCGCTCAGCTGTTTTCTCGGCCTGGCTCCCCCCCCCCTCCTCTCTCTCTCTCTCTCTCTCTCTGTCACACACAGTGGGAGACTGTTTATTATGCCGCGTTCAGCATGGCACCATAGTACCCGTTGACCCCAATTAAGAGATGATCTTTTTGTCGTTTTGTTTTATGATTTATAATATCGTGTTGCAATTTCTTTGTCTTTTGTAGGTATTTCTTATCCTAGAGCAAAATTGATACTTCCCGTTGTCACCAAAGCATTTCATATTTCACTGCATTTCTCTAGGATTGCACTAGATCATGGTTCTTCATTTTTTTCATCACGAACCAGTTTGGTTTTGTGCAATACCTTCACTACCCAACCTTTCTCTCAACCCGATACCAGTTATAGATATATGTAAGTTTATATATCTATATCTGTCTGTCTACCTACCCATCCATCTCTATCTGTCTACATATGAAAATGTAAATGTATATATAATTATCATCATTATATGGCGACACACCGAACATGAGTTGTAACCCAGTACTGGTCGCGACCCGTCCTTCGAAAACCTTGCTCCATGGTGATACCTCGTGCCTCGTAGTTGATCCATTTAATCATCTCACGGAAAGTCGTATTGCAGTAATCAGTCGTTTAGTTTTTGTAAAACCACAATTCTTTGTATATGTATTTCGTCTTACTTATGCCATTTGAACGACCAGACTCCACGCATTTATGCCATGAGACCTTGCACTACAGGTGTATCCTTGGACCCACGAATTGTGTCCACCTCACGTCTCGGACTCGCACACGCTGAAAGGGTAATTGCGATAAGATTTTTTTCTTTTTCTTTTGATATTGTGTAGAGTTGCAGAGTACTTGTTGGATACTTCTCAAGTTCCGTTGCTCGTTTACGGTATTCACGCTGAATATAGATTGAATAGATTTCGCAGTACTTTAAGCGTCGCAAAAGAACAAAGCTCTCCACAGTGAGGAGGTGTTTTTTTTTTCCTTTCTTTTTCCTCCCTCCCTCTCTCTCGCGTAGAAGTTTTGGCAGCAGCGATTGGCAAGGCCGGCATTGTGGCTCAGCGACAACTTGGCAGTGTAGAGAGAGAGAGAGAGAGAGAGTTATCAGCGCCGGCGTTCCAACAGCGGCCGGGGTGCGCTCAGCAGCAAGGGCAGCAGGAAAGGGGCCCGCGACGGTGCGAGTCCTCAGTGTGGTGTTAGCGCTGGTTCAGAGGGGAGGCACATCACGGCGCGCGGAAGCTGAAGTGAGTGTTGTGGTGTTGGTGAGGGTGGCGGGGGAGGCAGGGGCGTAGAGGCGCTGCAGGTCGCCGACGTGAAATCTATTGACGGAGGAATTACCTTTGGAAAAGAGGCCGCACCGTTGACGCAGTGTCCGTGTCGGCCGGGAGGGAGGTCTTACGCCTTTTTAATAGAATACTCACCGTCTTGCGTTTCTTATGCTAGAAATTCCTCGTCATCAGAGGCAATGCTCTTCTCAGTTATCAGGCGGCGACAGCAAGTGACTCGGAAGCCACACAGGAAATCTAACGGACCTTTTCCCTCTTTTCCTTCTGTCTGATTTTGCCTAGAACATTTTGCGCGTAGGTTGAGAAGCATCTGCATAGTTCCGTCGCTTGATGCCGGAGAAGTTAGCTCGGAGAACATTGCCTTGTTTGTATTCAAGCTGACAGACTCGCTCTCTCTTTGCCTGGTGACCAACGGAGAGTTGAATACAGGATGGACCTTTATTCGATTTCTTATTTATATGTGTCAGCTTTTGATGTTCTTTTGTGGGCAAAGCAATTTATATGTTAAGGAAAGGTTGATATATACTTTAGAGAATATGATACAAGTTGTTAATTTCAATGCCTGCGGTATTTCCGCAGGCATTTAACGTTAACCGCACCCTTGATTTTAGTTTGGGAGTTTCCTGTGCCGTCCGGATCCAGCTGGATCGCTAACGTAATCGCACTGTGTTGTTCCCTTTTCTGCGTGTGTGTCGGCATTCATTTAATTCGTTTTTTATTTATTCATGGATGTCTGTCGCATCACGGAAGCAGCAATGTTTGCCGAAAGTCGTTTTTGATATATATCTCCCGGTATTGGGGAATGTTCCTTTGCAAATTATGCATAATTGCCAAGCTCGCGGATCGACATTAAATTTCACTTTCGTGTTTCAGAATACCGCCGCATCCGTTTCAGAACCGAGCCGCTTCTTGTTTTTGACTATTGCCGTTGCCTGCGATTGTCGACTCGGCCCGAGGTGCTATATTTCTTTTATATTGATTTACTGCCACGCAGTGAGTACGTACGCGCAGTCGTGCAGTGTCGCATACTGAGATAATGGGATAGGTCTCTATGGATACACTGGATTGATATATAGGAAATATATTTGCTCGTCACTACACTACGATTTCGTGAGTCGACTCTGTACAATCTTTGCTGGCGTAGAGGTTTTGTCGTGAACAGGAGTAGCTCGCCAGTGCCACGTGAAGAGGAATTCATACATTCTCTTAACTAAACATCTGATCAATGTGTAGTTATTTTTTCATTTATAGTGATTTGGTTTTAGATGAGAAATCCAATAAATGGTCTTCACAAAGATTACTATATATGGCAGTGCTGGCCATTCGGGAAGGTGTCCATATAGGTTGTTGCCGGCTGGGATTAGTGATCGTCCTTAGTGACCTTTACATGTAGATTTTAAAGGGCTGTAGTGTTTAGGCCTAATGAAGAAGGGTCGGCCTTCTACATTTACGGAAATGATAACGGTACAGAAAGCCTACGGGAATCTATGCTACTTATCACAAAAAAGCGTCATTTTACGGATCTTAGCATCTCTTTTTCCTGTGGCCACTTTTTCCAAGGATAATAATGGGTTCAGAAAGTGCCGTGTGATTCTGCAACTTTTATGGATCATTTGAAAGTGTCATTGTAAGTGGTTTGCCAAGGACAAGATATACAGTAAATTAAACAACCTTGACCAGATGGTGGTGTGTTTTTTTTTTATCATTGTCCCGTTTGTTCATTGTCTGTCGATGAGTTGTTATCAGCGTGAAGATAACGTATCGCCCATATATCCAGGTTAGAATATGGAATTTATGGAGGTCAGATAGGGTTTGTTACTGGATCTCTCTCTCTCTCTCTCTCTCTCTCTCTCTCTCTCTCTCTCTCTCTCTCTCTCTCTCTCTCTCTCTCCTCTCTCTCTCTCTCTCTCTCTCTCTTCTCGTCTCCTCTCTCTCCTCTCTCTCGTCTTCTCTCTCCTTCTCCTCTCTTTCTCTCTCCTCTTCTCTTTCTCTCTCCCCCTCTCCCTCTTTCTCTCTCCTCTCCCTCTCTTTCCTCTGCCT